TCTCTTTACATATTCAAATCTTCTTACTACAATAATAAAACCTTTTCTTTTTTCTATATATGTGAAATGCAATATTCTGTTAGAACTAATCCAAAACGACAAGCCTTTTATTTTTACCAATATCTAACTATCTATCAAAATACTGCTGCAGAAAACCATAACATTGACAAAATGAACAAACAACAGGCTATTAACTTTCTTATACCTAAACTTATTGACACTAACTTTCTTGCATGTATCATTACATATTTCGATTGCACTTGCAATGAATCCCCTAACTATTCTGTAAAAATAAAATTCTACAAAGAAAAAGCATTGCCAGAAGCTGAACAATTTTACATGAAAAATTTAACATCAAATTTGAAATACCCACATCTATCGCAGAGTCATTCTTCTTAGAACAAGAAGAACAGGCTCCTTTTTAATAAATTTGTCTTCTACAAAACCCATAGATGCAGCCACCACCCTATTAAATGACACACCCACAGTAGTTAATAGGAAAAATGATATAAGTAGGCAGACAGTAAAGCCTATTTACATGGAAGGCCAAGATTATGATAGTTAGACCCAATGTATAGGGCAGACTTTGGTATCTTGCACAGCAGTTAGAGCTGAGCATATGGTAATTGATCCTATAGAAGACAATCTTAGAAGATCATTCTTAACATCTTTAAGCCCTTATGATCTTCATACATGTTTTAACAAATTCTTTCTTTATTACAACTTACCACTTCTTCCTTATGGTCAAATGATTCAATCTCTTATACAATATATTGACAAATATAATTATAATAACACTGTCTCTAGTATTACTTTCTCTGTTAATAATACTTACAATGAAACCCATATATATCTTCCAAATGACTCTCTCTTATCTAATCATACTGTTATCTATTCTTATCTTCTTCTTATCTTTTACAACCTTTCTCTTAAATCAAATCTCTCTAATTCTACTTCCATCCTACCTGATTTATTTTTAAACAGTCACACTACACCACAAGTACCTACATCTATACAAACTTTACATGACCTTCACTTAAACATTTGTACATACAATGTTAAAGGTTATAATACAGTAACTAAAAGAGAAGCTTGGCAAAATTATTGTCTTCACAATAATATCCATATCTCTTGTATTACTGAAACCAAAATCGCTAATAGTACTAATCTTCAATTTCACAATAACAACTTATTCATCTACTTTTGAGCCAATTCAGAAAGTTCAGCAGAAGGTGCTGCAATTATAATCCAAAAACATTTACAACCATATATACACAACTGCCAAACACACCCTGGTGGAGCAATTGCTTTAGATCTATTTTTTAAAAATGAAATCAAACTTTGAATTATAGCTGTCTATCTTTCTTCTACTGATATGCAAAAATGTAATAATACACAAAATACTGTTATTACATGGATCCAACAAGCTCTTCAACACAACCTTTATTCAATAATACTTGGAGACTTTAACACACATGATGACATCTGTAGCACTTCATCCAAATTCAAACTTATCAACTATTTACACCACTTCAACATGTTTGACCTTGGTGCACATATTGATAACAAGCACTTTACATGGTCAAACAATACTAGCCACAGTTGCATCGATTATATCTGAACTAATTCATTCAATATCTAATTCTTTCTTTCATATAAACTTGATGATAGCAATATCTCAACACTTAGTGACTATTTTATTCTTATATCTACTTAGACTTTCACTAATGCATATAGCAAACTTCCATGTCATCATACTGGCATTAGCTACAGAATCTTCAATTACAAAGCTATGTCAACTGACAAATGAACAGAATTTGCTGGTTTTCTTTCCCACAATCTTAGCCTTCACAATACACTATTCAATAGCAACATTAGTGAAAGCATTGAAACTACTTGGCACAAGATTGAACATTCAATAATTAACACTGCAATACATTCTATCTCTAACAAGAAAACTTGTAAATATAGCTACAATTATCAATATTCCTCTAACTCTACCTTAATTTACACATCACTCAAAGAGCTTGGGCATTTAATAAAAATTGTTAAAAACACTCACAACAACCTCAACATAAACATGATTAACTCTAGAATTAAGTCTATCAACAATAAATCCTATTGTGACCTTTAAACTCTAGACCCAGATAATAATTCTCAAATTCATGTATGGATTCAACATGCACAAGATATTTGGAAACAACTTTATCATGCTTGTCATACAAAAAACTCATTATTGCTTTGTCAACAAATCCAACAAGCAATTGAAAAAAGATGTAAAACACTTTTTATATATCCTAAACAAGCTATTAACAGTATTCTTAACCGATATAAAGCCTCTATACACTTTTCCAATATCAAACTTCTCAACCAACTTATCACAGACCTCAAACTCATAAAACAACATATACAATCACACTTCCATAACTGGACTGCATATCGACCAACTGATCAAGCACTGTTTAATAGCTTCTGGCATACATACTACTAACCACAACCACATATTAATACCCAATGGTACAACTCTCTTAACTCCCCTATTACAGAAGATGAAGTACTTCAAACCTTGTCACAACTTCCGAATGGAAAAGCCTATGGACCTACAGGCATCATCTATGAAATGCTTAAACATGCAGGTACTACTTGCATTCAAGCTATCACAGCTCTATTCAATCATTGCTTTAACTCAAGCCAAATCCCCAAACAATGAAAACATAGTAGAATTTATCCAATTCCAAAATGTAATATATTCAATGGTGATCTAAGTCTCACTCACCCTATTAGTCTTATCAAACATATTTGAAAAGTCTATACAAAAATTATTATTACTAGAATAGTACTGTGTTTTCTTAACACCCAATACTTTCACTTTACAACTATATAGCTTTACCTAATAATAGCACATCTATACCAATTCATATACTTAATAACCTTATTGAAGATGCATCATACAACAACAAACCAATTTGGCTTTTATCTCAAAATATGAGTAAAGCATATAACTCAGTTAATCTTACTCTTCTTCAAAAATCTTTACAATGCCTTGCCCTCCTTATTCTATAATAAATGCTATTACTAACATCCTTTATGATTGACAAAACCAAGTCATTACAAACCTTGAACTTACTCCATCATACCCTGTACATAACAGCATTGATTAGGATGAAACTATCACTTCTTTCTTATGAAAAATCTACTACAACCCACTTATTTTATACATTTATAACAACTTTAAGGGCTATACTACACAAGTCTCTTGGTTAACTAATTTAAAACATCAAACACATAACAAGCTTAGCTCATATTGCTTAGTTCTTGCCTATATAGATGATACTCTTTGGATTGCATCCTCACAACAAGAACTATCACAAATCCTTTTTGCAGCTGAATCATTCTTCAACATGGCCAATATACAAATTAACTCTTTTAAATCTGTACTTACAACTAATAACAAACAAATCAACTATACCCCTATCATATACAATGACCATCCTCTCAATTTTTATTTATCAAATGAACCATTCAAATTCCTTGGATGCTGGTTTACACTCAATAACAAACAAGCCAAACAAACCAAACTCATCATTGCAGAATCATCACATCTTGTCAAAATTGCAAGTACCAAACAAATTACTGATACACACGCATGCTATATTATCAATACTGTCATTATTCCTACAATCGAATATCGACTACATAACATTGTTCTTAA